TTCCCTACACCGGCTCTTCTGTTACGCCTATTGCGACGACGACGTGCCAATCGACGAGAAGCTGCCGCTGTTGTGTTTGTTGCTCCTGTTGCTGCTGTTGCGTTTGTGGCTGCTGTTGCGTTCGTTGCTCCTGTTGCAGCTGTTCCGTTTGTTGCCGCTGTTGTCGTTGCTACTGTAGTGGTTGTTGCGTTTGCTGCTGCTGCTGCTGTTGTCGTTGCTACTGTGGTGGCTGTAGGAGTATTAGCCGCAGGATTACCCCCGGATGATGAGGACGATGAGGATGATGAAGGTTTACTTCCTGGTTTTCGGTTGTCATTCACCACCACATTTATTTTTGTAACCTTTTTCTTGCAACACGAACCAGACGTACCACACCCGGACGGTTGAGGAAGGAAGAATATGGCGCTGGCGACTGATACCAAAACAACCACGAAGAATAGTCTTGTAATCAACATTGTTAAATTGTTAGAATTGTTAAAGCTTTGACTTGAACTGATAAAATTAAGGTGGCTACAAGTGTATTTATACCCAATTTCACCTCAGAAATCGCTTCAGTTTCATAGTTAAATATTTGCACTGCAAACTCAATTGAAGGAGAGATTAAATAATAGCGTTTCGTTTTTTGTCAAATAAAAATTATTTATTGCATCTGCGCCCATATGTTTGAATGAAATAATAAAAATGTGTTTTTAGAACCTATGCAATTTGTATATTCCCGCAATATGTTGCATAGAGTTAAAATTAAAGTTCGTTCCCTTGAAGTTTATTTATTTACGAAACGTTGAATAATAATACCATTATTTTACACTAAATATAGGGCACTGGGTGTTACGACCTTGGTTTCGAAGCTTAAGATATTAAAAATATATATCATAAATAATATATATATTACGTTTTCAACTTGACTGCACTTCAGTTGAAATTTCACAATATATTTAATATGGATAAAAACCTCAACCTGTTAAAAATTTTTAACCTTGTTTTGTTATTAGTTGAAATTGTAAAACTTAATCTGTTAAAACATTTAAGTTGGGAGAGTGAATTGAGTTGTCATACTAGTACAACTTTTTTATGGTGTTACCTTACAACCCCTGCCAATGTGGTTGTAAGCAAAGTCAAAAAATAATAATTCATTAGTACTGTCACTGTTTCATGACTGCTCATTCAATCTTTTTTTAGTTATTAGTCTTAAAGTGGCGTTACCACCGTTTTGTACTTCACGATAGAAACAAGTAAAGAAGGGTAAGTTCCTTACTTGTTTGGTTTGACTTATTATTATCGTGGTTTATGCTACGTAAAATTAAAGTTTGGAGTTGCTTGTAAGGCTTCTTATAATTATTTTTCGGTTTTATTTCACACTTTATTCAGCTTGTGATAGGACTGATAAATTGAAAAGGCTATACTGTGAACTAGACCCTCACCTACCGTATTCAGAGCCAAAACGGAGCGACTTGATGTTGATCTTAGCCAAACGAAGCCAAATAGACTATGGCGTAAGCAACCCTGATTTAAATAACGACAAAAGGCCAAGTCGTCCAAAACCTAGTAATCGTGCTGAATTTGTGGAAAAAGTCCATGAAGCTTTTGATATCAATCCAAATATTACTACAAGAATGTTGGCTGAGAGATTAAATACGAGTAATATATACTATTTGGAGAATTTTAACTGAAGATTTGGGTAAAAGATGGGTCTGTGCATGTTTGATTACACATGAATTGAATGAATACCACAATATTGTTCTTGTAGATCATTGCAAAGACAAAGCTGAAACTGCAGAAAATGATCCCGACTTTCTTAGTTCGATCATTACTCTAAATGATACATGGTGTTTTAAATGTGACCTCAAAAGTAAGCATTAATTAAAGTTCAAAGGCGAGCCAAAACCAGAAAAAATCCGTTTTCATAAGCCGCGAACACAGACAATGTTGATTCCTGTTTGGAAATCAAAGGATATTGCCCACACGATTTACATCGTTTGTGTAAAATAATTAGTCGCATTACACCAGAATATCCAGCAGGAAAATATCTGTTTTTATTGTACGATAATGCAGCACCTCGTAAGACAAAATATGTGAACGAGTTTTTGAAAAATGGATTTCTCTCATTAACCACCCTTCGTATTCACCTGTCGATCACTATGCCTCTATTTTCTATTTCTAGAACTGAAAACCAACATATGGTAACAGGAGCATTTTATGATGACATCGCTGCTATTCAAATAGAAGTAACCGACGAGACGAGGGTCATAACACTCAGTGCCCTATATTTCGTGCAAAATAACAGTAAATAAATAAACTTCAAGGGAACTAACTTTAACTTAACTCTATGCAACATATTGCGTGAGTATACAAATTGCATAGGTTCTAAAAAACACATTTTTATTTTCTCATTCAAACATATGGGCGCAGATGCAATAAATAATTTTTATTTGACAAAAAACGAAACGCTATTATTTGATGTCTCCTTCAATTGAGTTTGCACTGCAAATATCTAACTATGAAACTGAAGCGATTTCTGAGGTGAAATTGGGTATAAATACACTTGTAGCCACCTCAATTTTATCAGTTCAAGTCAAAGCTTTAACAATTCTAACAATTTAACAATTCTAACAATTTAACAATGTTGATTACAAGACTATTCTTCCTGGTTGTTTTATTATCAGTCGCCAGTGCCATATTCTTTCTTCCTAAACCGTCTGGGTGTGGTTCGTGTGGTTCGTGTTGCAAGGGAAAGACACAAGTAAGTGTGACCGTGAATGACAACCGAAAACCAGGAAGTAAACCTTCATCATCCTCATCATCCGGTGGTAATCCTGCTACCACTACTCCTACTGCAGCAACAAATGCGACAGCAGCAACAAACGCAACAACCACAGTAGCAACGCCAGCAGCAGCAGCAAACGCAACAGTAGCAACAGGAGCAACAAACGCAACAGCATCCACAAACGCAACAGCAGCAACAGCAGCAACAAATACAACAGCGTCCCGTCGGTTGGCACGTCGTCGTCGCAATAGGCGTAACAGAAGAGCCGGTGTAGGGAAGAAAACAAGAAATGGTCGACGAGTACGCGCAGGAAAACGCGCAGGAAAACGCGGAGGTAAACGCAGAGGAAAACGTGCAGGAAAACGCGCTGGAAAACGCTCAGGAAAACGTGCTAACGTCTTAACGCGAAAAAATAAGGGCAACAAAGCCAAAAGGAGTAACAGAAGCAAAAACAGCAGGAGAAAGTCTGCTAAGAAAGCTGGACGCAGACAATGAAAATAAATTTAATTTAAGATATTGTTTTTAAATTAATGTTTATTCCCCGTTAATAATATTGTATTTGAATGAGAACGATTAAAAATAAAATTAAATATGGAAATGGAATAACTGTAATATTATTTAATGTCTTATAGACATCATTCACATTGTTGGCTCTCTACTCTCCACAAACCACAAGAAAAGCTTATATCACATCGCTTACAAATTGGTTCATACTCTATAACTATAGAAGTATTTCCTGCTTTTACGGCTTTTTACGGTAACTTTATAGAAGTTCGAAAGACCCAGCGGTGAAGGTTTGACTTCAGTTGATATTTCTGCATTCATCGCACCGGCAATTGCAGCACCGACTATGAAAATTTAGTAAAACATTATTACCTTCAGGTGTTGGCCAAACTTTATTTCAAAAATGTTGCGAAAAAATTCAATAGTTATTGTTCATCGAAATTGTGAATTGATAACAATCAAATTTGTATCATATTAATTTATATAGGTCATAGACTAAATGAGTCTTATAACTATATAGAGTATATTGGGAGCAAAAGGTGAAACAGGAACAGGAGCGGGCTTCTTCTGTTATAATCCCTACAATAACAGACCAAATGACTACAATTCAGTCTTTCCCGCCTAACTTGTGGGCGTAACAGAAGGTGCCTAGTGGGCTTCTGCTCTAACCAGCAAGTCCATAAACATCCTAGTGGATAGACAAGCGGCAATTTAGGCTATCCGTAGCGCCAGCACTAAATCACATAGCGTTAGGTTATGCAAGCAAGCAATAACTAGACTTTTAGTCGTAGCAACTCGGTTAATATTATCAGGGACCCACTAATATTGAAGGAAAGGAAAAGGCAGACGAGCTGGCCTGCTTGAGGGCAGCTGGGGACACAATTCCCCTTAACTGCCCCAGGCTCAACTCCTTCAAGGGATGTTTGAAGCAATGAACCCTAGAGGAACATATCAGCTTTTGGTGATCTTGAAAATACAAGATATATGGGAGATAGGGGTAGTGCTTCTCTGAGTTTCATTAAGGTACTCCACATACCATCATCAATATTTAAGGATTAAAGTCAACTAGATGTTTGAAAATCCTTCATTAGTTGTATGGCGTTTAGGGCAAGTTTTCACCTGATTTTATCCATTTTAGGCAGAAAGTTGTACCGTTATTAGAAGAATACTTTCTCCTAATTCTATTAAAATAACTTATATACATATTTGCCGATATATGTGGTATAAAGTCAATCGAAAATTCGAAAATCTTTTTATTAGTTATATGGTGGCTAAGAGAATTATTCAACTCATTTATGGCATACAGGTAAACTATTTCAGAAAAGGATTCTCTTCGAACTTCTATAATAAATGTCACCGATCTCTGGCCGATATGTTCGATAAAAAGTTCAAATTAGGAACTGGGGTCTACATATTCGGTATCTGGGAACTTTAATAGTTTTGGTCCGATTTGGACAATTTTTGGTAAACTTCGTTAAAAGCACTATTCGTGCAAAATTTTATCCGGATACATTTGATAGTTTTTGATTTGTATACTGGAAAGTGAAAGAATTAGATGGAATTTAAAATTGTGTTATATGGGAAGGAGGCGTGGTTGTGGTGGTTATGACTGCAAAAAGTCGGTTAAAAGGCTTTTAACCTTGACACGGTTATACTGTTACTCCTGTTATTTAGGAAAAATAATGTTTAATATATGTAATTTCAATTGAATCACACATTAATGAAAATAATCACATTACAGCTGGATTATCGTAACGGTAACATTACTTTTGCATCCATAATAGTCTATCACTGACGAGCCGTATGTTCATCATTATCACTTCTAGCTCTGAAAGTTAGCTTATTTAATTCGCTAAGGAATATCAAAATAAGAATAAGATTCTTGAGAAGATTTGTTAAACGAAGCAAAAAAGTTTGCTATACGATCACGTGCATAGATGTTTCTACTAATTGTTCACAATCGGCGTTGCAGTTCCCAGTGCGTTGTTAGCAGAAATATCAGGTGAAGTCAAGTACTTTACCGTTGGGACGCCGTAAAGCAGAGAATATCCTATAGCTGTAGATTCTGCACCAATTTGTAAGCATATAAGCTTTTCTTGTGGTTTGTGGAGAGTAGAGAGCCAACAATGTGAATGATGTCTATAAGACATTAAATAATGTTACAGTTATTCCGTTTCCATATTTAATTTTATTTTTAATCGTTCTCATTCAAATACAATTTCACCAACGGGTAATAAACATTAATTTAAAAGCAATATCTAAAATTAAATTAATTTTCATTGTCTGCGTCCAGCTTTTTTAGCAGACTTTCTCCTGCTGTTTTTGCTTCTGTTACTCCTTTTGGCTTTGTTGCCCTTATTTTTTCGCAGTAAGACGTTAGCGCGTTTTCCTGAGCGTTTTCCAGCACGTTTTCCTGCACGTTTTCCTCTGCGTTTTCCTCCGCGTTTTCCTGCGCGTTTTCCAGCGCGTACACGTCGACTATTTCTTGTTTTCTTCCCTACACCGGCTCTTCTGTTACGCCTATTGCGACGACGACGTGCCAATCGACGAGAAGCTGCCGCTGTTGTGTTTGTTGCTCCTGTTGCTGCTGTTGCGTTTGTGGCTGCTGTTGCGTTCGTTGCTCCTGTTGCAGCTGTTCCGTTTGTTGCTGCTGTTGTCGTTGCTACTGTGGTGGTTGTTGCGTTTGCTGCTGCTGCTGCTGTTGTCGTTGCTACTGTGGTGGCTGTAGGAGTATTAGCCGCAGGATTACCACCGGATGATGAGGACGAAGAGGATGATGAAGGTTTACTTCCTGGTTTTCGGTTGTCATTCACCACCACATTTATTTTTGTAACCTTTTTCTTGCAACACGAACCAGACGTACCACACCCGGACGGTTGAGGAAGGAAGAATATGGCGCTGGCGACTGATACCAAAACAACCACGAAGAATAGTCTTGTAATCAACATTGTTAGAGTTGTTAAATTGTTAGAATTGTTAGAATTGTTAAAGCTTTGACTTGAACTGATAAAACTGAGGTGGCTACAAGTGTATTTATACCCAATTTCACCTCAGAAATCGCTTCAGTTTCATAGTTAAATATTTGCACTGCAAACTCAATTGAAGGAGAGATTAAATAATAGCGTTTCGTTTTTTGTCAAATAGAAATTATTTATTGCATCTGCGCCCATATGTTTGAATGAAATAATGAAAATGTGTTTTTAGAACCTATGCAATTTGTATATTCCCGTAATATGTTGCATAGAGTTAAAATTAAAGTTCGTTCCCTTGAAGTTTATTTATTTACGAAACGTTGAATAATAATACTGTTATTTTGCACTAAATATAGGGCACTGGGTGTTACGACCTTCGTCTCAGTGATGAAGATAATACAAATGTACATATATGATAAATAATATCTATTTATATTATGGTTTACAACTCAACAGTTTTGGAAATAGAAATTACATAGTGTTAGATTAGGCTAATACGGAGTGTGGTTGATGAGAATAATCCGTTTTTTATCAAAAACCCATTAACATTTTCTGTCTTATTTATCTTTGGGTTTGTGGTATACCCTATATATCGGTCAATATCTTACATATATTAGCAAAGTTAACTGAGCGTATAATATTGGATATACTATAGTTTAATGCCGAAAATGTGTTAAATTGGTCTACGAATTACTCCCATATACAATATGCAAAACAAAACTTGGTAGCATTGAAGATAGAAGTTATACCACTTTAATCAGCATTCAATTATCCGCATACTCTCTTGCTTCAATTCAACTCGTTAAGTTTGTTGTTGCCTTCATATGTAAATTTTTTTAAAAGAGAGCAGGGAAATGACCAATTGAAGGCAGCTACTATATGGATTCAATAGTCTTTGGTCTAACATTGAAAAAACGTGTTTTTGCTTATGAAAATATGGCTTTATGCTTCGACATAATCCCTAACCTAGGGTAATGCGTTTTTTGTAACGGTCTTATAACATTTCAACTCCGGTTCAATATTGTGAAGCTTCGAGGCCTTTAAAAAAAAGGTTTGTATTTATCTGTACTTCCTCATTATTTTTCCAACCAGCGACGTCTTGAGTCTAGGGGAAAGGAAATAGTCGCTAGAGTTGAAATTACAACCCGAATAAGGTGTGAAATAAAATCACAAATTCCAAACTTTAAAAATACATATAAGTACACTTCGATTTCAAAGATGTAAGAGTTAATATTTTCGCTTTTATTTTTAATTTCGTAAAAAGATTTCCTAATTATATAAGGCAAATTCAAAGTAACATCAACGTGTGGTGCGGTAGGCGATATACGATATCTTACAATGTTATCTTAGTTTCAAACTGCCATTATGTAATGAACTGTATAGCTGTAAAACTTATCTTAATTTTTCATAGCATAAACCAACACTAAACCCTATGCATCCAACCCAATATTACAAGTAAAAATAAAAAACACACATATGACCTCAATTTCATAGTAAACTTAACACAATTTTTGACTGTCACTTACAATTTGTCAAAGGCGCGCATAACTTCAACCATAATTTGTGAATATCTTGAAAACAAAGCAAAGAAAAGTGAAACACGCTAAGCCACGCCTCGTTTTCACAAAAAAAAAATAAATAAAAACAAGTAAGGAAGGGCTAAGTTCGGATGTAACCGAACATTTTATACTCTCGCAAAGTCAAATGGTATACTCGTTTGAGATTTCTTTGTGGATTGACTGATATTTTCGGTAGAAGGTCAACTATAGGCACTGGGGTCCACATATTTAGTACTTAGGGGCTTGAACAGTTTTGGTTCGATTTAGACAATTTTTGGTCACAAGGTGGCATACTTTAAACGTATTATTCACGCAAAGTTTTACCCCGATATAATCATTGTTGCTTGATTTGCATAGTGGAAAGTGAAAGAATCAAGTGGTATTTAAAATGGTGTCATATGGAAAATAGGCGTGGTTGTAATCCGATTTCGCCCATTTTCGCACTATGACATAGAAACAT